TATATAAACCCTATAACTTAAGGCCAGAAAAACAGATTTGTACTTCGAGGAAAAGGTAGTAGTGGGATAACCTGGTCCTATCAGGTGTCTCGAAGGACTATCTATATCTTTAAAGGGCTAAAGTTAGCTCTGCTGTCAGCCTGTTAAGGAGCGACCTCTAACCTCTTGTGACATTTTATAATTAAGGTGAAAAGGAAATGCTGTCTGAGTCTTTATAGACAGAGGTTAAGTTTGTTCTCAAGCGTGATCCAATTAGAAAGTAAACACAAACGATGTACCATCTGTGAAGTTTTTCATACCAAAGTGTTAAAATAAAGTTTCAGACCTATTTTAATACTATTTAGGGTTTAGTCTGACCAGACTGTTATAATTCTAACTCTTGTATTACAGTAACATCGGAGTCATCTTATTCATAAATCCGCCTCACCAGCTGCCTTAACTGGTGTACTACTGCCTCAAACCCATTAAATGTGAGCCTCCTTCATCTTGTCCAGTGAGGTGAGAACAATAGAGAGAAAAAGAGCAGGTGGCCGAGGGTTTATCCAGGGTTAAAACCAATCCAGTGAGCTCATCTCCGCAGAGCCAGCTTTGAGTAGTCTGCTTTCTGCCAGGACAGCCAGATCTGGCTACTCCCYTCCAGTCAGCCATCAGTAGCCTAATCTGTCTGAGCCATATGGRCCTCACATGCCCACTGTCTTGCAAACAAAATAATTACTACATGTGTCTTGGAAGTTAGAGTTTGGGTTTAAAACGGTACAGTTCGTAGAGAGTGCGCATTATTTTACCTTTTTCTCAAGTGTTTTAACTGCTGAGGAGGTAAACAGGTTCAGCTTTCGACAGCACTATAATCCTATCGCATCCTTATGTTGTTGTACGCTCCCTCACCAACCTCTCCATTCAGGTGAGGACAGCCCAGTTAAACTCGTAGGTTAAAAAAAACCCTCTTTAAATCCCGCTGCCACGATAACAACTGTGTATTTTAAGCTCTACTAATCCTTTACAGCAAACGTGCCTGAGTGGACCTGATATGTGTCACAATATCGCAGACTATAACWTGAGTACCCATTTCTGAAGCTCTCCATCACATTGACTGTGCTCTTTGGAAATAAAATCAACACATTACAGTGAGTCATACTGAAGACACGGAACATGTTTTCTAGCAGAGTTTTAGTTGAGGTGGAGACAATAACAAAGCCTCTTTATGGGGGCTGCGTCGGCACCATAACTACCCTCCTGTTGTTATGCTCTCTAATCCCCCTGAGTCCAAGCTTGCTTTAATGATGTCATGGCAGACAGAAGTGCTGATGTTGTACCTAAGAGCTGCTGTAATTAAATTACGTCCTCCGACAAACAAGTCACACCCTAACAAGGTGGATTGTCTGTCTCTAGAAGGTGTTTTTTAATAACTCATAAAAATAAACAAGGAAAAAAACAGTAATATAACACCCCTTCATCCAACATTTGTCACTTATACCAAAAGAAAACAGTGTCACTGTGAGTTCTGTCTACTTTTCTGATGTCTTAGTAAAAAAACAACAACTATAAAAGCCAGCCCACCACCAGCAGGCACACAAATGTTTAAATGAGCCTACACAGAGTGAGGAAACACCTCTGCAGGTTCTCAGTCACGATGCTCATTAGCCTCTGCAGTGCCTTCATCATCATTCCACATCCTGCTAAATGGTCTCCAAGGGGGACTGGTTGAAAGTAAAAACCTAGTGGTAAATATGGCCCTCGTGGAGCTCACACAGATGGTAAGTTCTTCTCTAATCATATGGTAACATGCTAAGTACATACATACAGGATATACTGTTCGTTTGGGTGTTTTATGACTATAATATATTGTGCAGCAGGTCACTTGTCAAGCAAAACATTAAGTATCTTTTCTATTATATATATCTATTTTTTTCATTTTTTTGACTGATTTAAAAATTATTTAAAATTATAATAATAACAACAATCCCTTTTATCAAATATAATCACATTAAATTTTAATTTAATTGTAAAGTTGTAACCTTCTGTTGGGCAAATGCATCAAACCATCATCAGCATGAATGACATGAAACGAACCCCAAGCATTCACTCCAGCTAAGCATTCAGATGTGAGTTTATAAAATAATTTCCTTTTATTTTCCAGTTGCTGTAAAGGTCGCTCTCTCAGCTCTGGCCCAGCCAGCACTCGCTCACAAATTAAATGTGACATTTGAGCTTTACAAACAAGTTTTAGAAAGAGCTGCTGCCGTGCCCGAGGTCCCTGCAGATACCTTATCTCTGCAGGCTCGTGACAGGCAGGAAGGATATGAAAACAAAGACAACAGCTTTCTCCCACACAAACACAAACTGACCCCATCAGTCACTCGAGCGCACACAGAGATAAGCACACACACACACACACACACACACAAAAATAAATAAATAAAGGGATGGCCATGTCACCTGGTCGTCCACTCTGTGAGCCACAATGGTGGCCCCCTCCTCCTGTTCGGCATCGCTGAGGGGTCGGATCCTCAGGGCAACCTGCAACAAAAGTGATTTCATTCAGACATCCTTGATTTTCATCAGTGCAGAGAAATCCAATTTACTGAATGTAGAATAATAAACCTGAAGTCTCCCTTTATGGGAACATTTACAGCACACAAGAGCACCATCTTTCTTGTCATAAACGGGTACCTGTCTACGTAAAAACACGTCTGAGTCGGAGGTAATTTTGCTGATGTTACACTTGAGGATGTGAACATTTTGTATTTTTGTATATTAAACTTGCTCGTAGCTGAATAAAAGCTTGACGCAACAAATAAATCTTGTTTATTTGTTGATTGTGGCACTACATTTGAGCTTCTCTCATTTATAGAAAAAAAATGCTTAGTTTTAAATTTTTAGGAAAGCTACAGAGCCCACGAGGGGACATCGGGGATTTTTTTCCCTTTTGCGTTCCCTCGCAATACTTTTGCGTTCCCTCGCAATACTTTTGCGTTCCCTCGCAATACTTTTGCGTTCCCACGCAATGCCTTTGCGTTACCGCGCAATACTTTTGCGTTCCGTCGCAATACCTTTGCTTTCCCTCGCATTACCTTTGCGTTCCCTCGCAACACTTTTGCATTGCCTCGCAATACTTTTGCGTTCCCTCACAAATACCTTTGCATTCCCATGCAATACTTTTGCATTCCCTCGATAAACCTTTGCGTTCCCTCGCAATACCTTTGCGTTCCCACGCAATATCTTTGCATTCCCTCGCAATACTTTTGCGTTCCCTCGCAATAATTTTGCATTCCCTCGCAATACCTTTGCGTTCCCACGCAATACTTTTACGTTCCCACTCAATACATTTGCGTTCCCTCGCAATACTTTTGTGTTCCCTTGCAATATTTTTGCGTTCCCACGCAATACTTTTGCATTCCCTCGTTATACCTTTGCGTTCCCACACATTACTTTTGCATTCCCTCGCAATACCTTTGCGTTCCCACGCAATATTTTTGCATTCCCTCGATATACCTTTGCGTTCCCACTCAATACTTTTGCGTTTCCTTGCAATACTTTTGCGTTCCCTCACAATACCTTTGCGTTCCCACGCAATACCTTTGCGTTCCCTCGCCATACCTTTGCGTTCCCTCGCAATACTTTTGCGTTCCCACGCAATACCTTTGCGTTCCCTCGCCATACCTTTGCGTTCCCTCGCAATACTTTTCCGTTCCCACGCAATACCTTTGCGTTCCCTAGCAATACCTTTGCGTTCCCTCGCAATACTTTTGCGTTCCCTCGCAATACCTTTGCGTTCCCTCGCATTACCTTTGCGTTCCCTCGCAATACTTTTGCGTTCCCTCGCAATACCTTTGCGTTCCCTCGCAATACTTTTGCATTCCCTCGCAATACTTTTGCGTTCCCTCGCAATACCTTTGTGTTCCCACGCAATACCTTTGCGTTGTCTCCCAATACCTTTGCGTTCCCACGCAATACTTTTGCGTTCCCTCGCAATACCTTTGCATTCCCATGCAATACTTTTGCATTCCCTCGAGATACCTTTGCATTCCCACGCAATACTTTTGCGTTCCCTCTCAATACTTTTGCGTTCCCACGCAATAACTTTGTGTTCCCWCGCAATACTTTTGCGTTCCCATGCAAAAGTTTGTTTTGAATATGAACTGAATTAAATCAAACTTTTATTCTGAAATATCCGGTTACCAAAACAGGATGTGTCGCCACAAGTTTGTGAAATTGACATTGATGTTGCGTGGCTGCACTGTGTTAAAATATCGGCATATGACATACTTCTGTGCGTAGCTGTATGATATATTGATTGTGAAGCTGAATTAAAGCAGTAGGCTAACTCGCTAATGGTAAACATGTGAGTTGTTTAATAAACCGGCAGCCACAGTTGCGAGGGAACGCAATACTATTGCGTGGGAATGCAAAAGAAAAATAATCTCCAGTGTCCCCTCGTCGGCTCCGCACAAAACAGGTGAGAAAACATTTTCGTGGCTTGTCTRGGAGGGTGCTTTGTGAAGTTGTGACTATTTCACCTAGATTTCATCAGGAATGTCTCCTCAGCAAAATGCATGAATTACCAAATAAATAAATAAAAAGAAGGTACATAATAAAAGATGCCAGCATGTTGTGCAGAAAGAGTTTCATAATAGCCCTAATTCTGGGAGAATTAATATAAAAACCAACKGAGCACAGGCAGAAATACCAAAACATTTTTAATTAGAGACAATAATCCCATTTTCTTCTGCGCTGTTTCCATAGAACAATGTTTAAAACTCGTGCTCATCTGATAATGTGTCAAACATATTTCATAGAATAACAAATTACACATGTGTGAAGGTGGCTTGTGTTGCAGAGCGCCTTGAGCAGTTAACATGGTTCAAAAAAGCAGTTTGTGAAGATCATTTCAAATAAAACCAACCACTGCTGCTTATGAACACAGAATAGCCCAAAGCACTAAATCAGAGGATTGTGTTTTTATTTAATAATGCATATTCAGCTGTACCCTGCTAGGTGTGTTTGTCCATTTCTAATTAAATATTACATAAATGGCTTTTAATGAAACATAAAGTGTTGGTTCGATCGAAACAATCAAAGGTGCTCAAGTTTGCTCTGAATTTAGAGCGTTTCCTTCAACAATCGTAGTATTTCTGACCTACCTCAGTTTCACAAGGGCACCAGATGACAATAATAAGATCTTTTCTCTGTCAGCACCTTGTAGGTTTATTACATGCTGGTCAAGAGAGACCAAGGCAGCCGAAAGTGCCACTTTATTAATTTAGCTGTGTGCTGCAGAACACATTTAGCCGGCTGTGCCAGAGGAAATTGAACGGTGTATTGTCCAATAGTACTGGGAGGTGTAATGGGAAAAAAATAATAATAACGGGAAGAAAACTAGAAGCACTCGGAGAGTGCGAACCTACGCCAAGACCAATTTCCCCCATCCTGTAATGGAGTAAATGTGCAAAAGCAGAGATGGAAACACATTTGCTGAATAAGTTCTGACGTAGTGAACATTTAAGCAGCAGAATGCACGGGATTTCTTCTCGGTGGAGTCCAATGTGAAAAAAAAGTCAGAKTCGTCACCCGACGTTATTCATCGTCAAACTGGTGTGGGATTAAGCTCCTAAGTTTTCATCAGTCACATTTCACCATGTAAAACGTCTGTTTTATCCCCTTGTATGAGTTTGTAATGGTTTGACTCTCTTTATAAAGTGCTTCCTGGCTCCCCCGTCTCCAAACTTTGAGGCCCAGCAGCTCTCTGTTTACAATCCTAGTGGAGATACTGTTTTGACTGGTTGTTTCAGAAATGTGGTGTGTTTGAGGAAA